ACGATTCGTTACTACCCTTCGACCTCTCTTACAGGCCAGTGGGTTAAATGAACTAGGGCAAATCCAAGAACTCCAGCGTCTCATTCCCCCTGCCCTTCTTCTCAAGATTGCCGCCCAACCTCCGTTACCTGTCACTGCAATAGGATATCTGAACAGCGTCCAATCCATCTGTTAATCTATGATCGACATCTTCGGTGACAAACCTCTATTCATGACCTCTACCAATCGATCTTTTGGTCGCAATCGCAGCAAATTTGTACGTCGCAACAGAGCAATCAAAACCAGAGAAGGACCATCCCAAGACAGATCATCTAAAGATCAACAGATCAGACGTCTATCAGACAAGGATCACAAGGAGCACATGGATAAGAAGTTATGTTTCAGATGTCACAAACCCGGGCATCAGAGCCGTCAATGCCCAAACAATCGCATCAGGGCTATTGAATCCCATGACACATCCACCCAGGAGAAGGATGAAACAAAGGATTCTTCTGATGAGGAAGGGATAGCCGAAGAATACATCCAAGCTATATCCTCTGAGAAGGATTTTTGAAGTCTTCGATTGCTGTGACGTCGAATCGAAGTAATGGCACTAAGGACTATTTATATCAGGCAAGACAAGCTCATAAATCTATTTATTTGCCTTGTATATTGAAAACCTATGCCAAAATCGTCACCACTGAGGGATTGCTCAACACAGGAGCAATGGACAATTACATCGACATCCAGTTCGCTCAAGATCATAATCTCCGGCACCAGAGTATACCACCAAGACCAGTGTTTAATATCGATGGATCACCAAACAAAGTCGTGGCCATCAAACACAAAGTCTTCTTCACTATATCTTTATTGGGACAACCCATGAGAATAGAAGCTTATGCCACAGTATTGGATAGGAACCCAATTATTCTAGGTCTATCATGGTTCAAACATTTCAATCCAGCAATCAACTGGATCACTGGAAAAATGTGCTTTTGTTGGGATCAACTTCTACAAGCAATCAAGACCCTTGCTAGCAATATTCTGGAATACCTAGGAAAATTCCTCTCTGTATTCAACAAAAGCACAGTGGAATGATTGCCAGAAAGAAAACCCTGGGATCATGCAATCGATCTAGAAGCAGGCTTTAAACCCCAACGAGGAAAAGTTTATCTGCTTTCACCAGCCAAACTTAAGGAGTTGGATACCTTCATCGAGGAAAACCTACAGAAAGGTTACATCCATCCATCAAAGTCTCCTATGGCATCTCCATTCTTCTTCGTCAAGAAGAAATCCGGAGATCTCCGACCCTGCCAAGACTACAGGAAACTCAATGACACCACCATCAAGAATGCCTACCCTATACCAAGAGTAGAAGATCTATTAGACCATATTGCCTCCGCCAAACCAACAATATTCACCAAATTTGATTTACGTGCAGGATACAACAATGTACGCAACAAGGAAGGCGACGAATGGAAAGGAGCCTTTATCACGCCAAGAGGGTTATTCGAACCAACTGTCATGTTCTTTGAGATGACAAACTCTCCAGCCACCTTTCAAGCCATGATGGATGGAATCTTTGCAGATCTGCTACTAGAAGGATGGCTAGTAATCTATATTGACGACATCCTCATTTACTCCACCGACTACTTGGAACACCGGCAACACGTTCAATTAGTCATTCAACGGTTGAAAGATTCAGATCTCTTTCTCAAACCTGAGAAATGCTTCTTTGACATATCAGAGGTTGAATTCCTAGGATTCATTCTCCGACCAGGACAGATAGAGATGGCAGAAGATAAGGTATCAGCAGTACTAATTTGGCCCAAAGATTGACAGCATCAAAGCACTGCAACACTTTCTAGGTTTTGCCAATTTCTATCGACAATTTATTCCAGGATACTCCAAAGTGGCACAACCCTTATTTGATCTATTGATCAAGGGAATCAAGTGGGATTGGACCGATAATCATGACAAAGCCATCAGTCAACTCAAAGAATGCTTCAAGACTGGACCACTTTTAGTACAACCTGACGTCACCAAACCATTCAGAATAGAATCTGACACCTCTCTAAAAGTGTCTGGCAGCATCCTATCTCAAAAACAATCTGATGGACGATGGCACCCATGCGCCTTCCTATCCCAGTCATTTTCTCACATAGAACAGCGGTACAAAATCTATGATCGAGAACTCTTGGCAATCATCAGATGTTTCAAGGCCTAGTGGCACTACATTGAAGGATGCATCGAACCAGTGGAAGTCCTGACAGATCATATGAATCTGACGTATTTCAAAGACCCCCAGAAGCTGAATCCTTGACAAGTGAGATGGGCACTGTATCTATCCATGTTCAATTACTGCCTCTGCCATGTTCCTGGGACACGGTTAGGTAAAGCAGATGCACTATCATGTATTGATCAAGATGTGTCTGAAGGGGGGGGGTAACTTCCTGTGGAAGAAGTCCTTCTTCCATCAGAAGTCTTCATTCACGCAATTCAGAACCTCGAATCCATCAACACCGACGTCAAACAATGCATCTTGACCTGCAAAACCAAAGACAGCATCACTGATCACGGACTTCGGCTAGCATTACAACACACTTCTTCCACAGACAAGCGTACTCCTCCTAACTAGGATATTCAAGATGACTTGCTGGTATTCAGAGGACGAGTCCACATACCCAAGGACACCAAGCTTCGACAAGATCTCATCCAGAAAGCCCACGATTCCCCTACCACAGGACACCCTGGGTGATACAAGACTCAGGAGATCTTGCAAAGAACCTATTGGTGGCCTACTCTTGCGCGCGATGTCAGTGAATACATCACTGGTTGTGCAACTTGCCAAGAAAACAAGGTCATCACACATAGGAACTCACCGGATCTAGTACCTATCACGACAGAACCTCATCTTCTATTCCAATCCATCGCTATGGACTTCATCACAGATCTACCTTGGAGCAATGACTTTGACTGTTACAGCTTCAGGGGAGGGTTTCTTTCTTTTCCTAACTATTTGTTGTTGACCCTGTACTATACAACTGATCCCATCACTTGATGTGTTTCATCTACATCAGGTTTCATATCTATCACTTGTCACTTGTCTCCTGTTTCACTTATATTGCATTTCATATCTATCACGTTTCATCTTCATCACTGATACAACCCAGTGAAACCTGTTTC